ACGCCATCCTCAGGCTGTTTTTACCAGAATCTGTGTAAAAGTTTCCTTATTTTCCACCTAGCGCCCTTGGGAAATTTGTTGCGGAACAAACCAACGCACTTTAATACGCATTTTGCCCATCAAAAAATGTCTGCACAATGAAAAATGCAAAAACACTATTTTGATTTTTTTCTCAAAATTTCTTTGGTTCCAACCTTAAAGATTTGGCTGGAAAAACACGTTTTAATTTTTTTCTCCAAATCGAAGCTTCTGAGCAAAAATGTTACTCTAAGTAAAATGTCCGACAGGTCAACAGATCCTCAATGGATTTTTTTTCAAACCTCGCAGATGGGCGGTTCTCGAAAAAATGCCAAAAACGCTGCTTCCAAAAAACCGAAAATATCCCCAAAACTAAAAACGATGGAAAATTTCTGAGAACGCCACTGGATGGAATACGCTAATATGCGTAAAAAACTTTATATTGAGTTTTCCCTTAAAGTGCCAAATTCGCCAGCTACTGGACATTTTTAGATTTCCGGGCGATTTTTGGAAACATTTTCGGAAATTTGCCCCAATTTTGCTGAATGGAATTGGAGCGAAACTTTCACTTGGCAGGCTTTAGTATGTTAAAAACAAGGAAAATTTTCAAAACAAATAATTTTTTTTTTTTAAATACGCCATCCTCAGGCTCTTTTTACCAGAGTCTGTGTCAAAGTTTCCTTATTTTCCATGTAGCGCCCTTGGTAATTTTTTTGCGGAACAAACCAACTCACTTTATCAAGCATTTTGCCCATCAAAAAACGCCCGCACAATGAAAAATTCAAAAACACTATTTTGATTTTTTGCTCAAAATTTCTTTGGTTCCAACCTTAAAGATTTGACTGAAAAATCACATTCAATTTTTTTCTTCAAAACGAAGCTTCTGAGCCAAAAATATTACTCTTGCTAAAATATCCGATAGGTCGACAGATCCTCAATGCCATTTTTATCAAATCTCGCAGATGGGCGGTTCTCAAAAAAATGCCAAAAACGCTGTTTCCAAAAAACCAAAAAAATCCCCAAAACTAAAAACGATTGAAAATTTCTGAGCACGCCACTGGATAGAATGGGTGAAAATACATCAAAAACTTTATATTGAGTTTTCCCTTAAAGTACCAAATACGTCAGCTACTGGACATTTTTGGGAAAACTTTCGAAAATCTACCCCAATTTTGATGATCGGAATTGGAGCGAAACTTTCTCTTGGCAGGATTTGGTATGTTGAAAACAAGGAAA